CATGGCACAAGTTTTAAATTTCAATATTCATGCTTGTGTGGTGTATGCTAGTTGTAGGTTTGAATGATGAAATGAAAAATTAGCATGAATAGATTATCTAGTGATTTCATTCTCTAGTATTATCAAGTGGTATCTAATGATTTCATTTCCAAGTGTTGTTTCCAAGTGGTATCAAGCTAACCATGATGCTAAGGATGGTATATTGGTTTACTCCGATTGGTATCACGCTTCAAAGGTCCATCTTTTATACCTTAGCATCACTTGGTAGACATTGTCTCCTATATTTCCTATCTAAGCAAATGTGCAAGCTTCAATCCAAACTCTTAGCACATATATAGGGGGAGCAATTGCTACCATATAGGGTTCATGAAACTTGTCCATATTTTTTTACACATGGTAAATATGCTTGGACAAGCAACATGGATTCAATTGAATTTCAATTCATATCTTTGTGTAAGGGTTGTCATCAATTACCAAAAAGGGGGAGATTGAAAGCTCTAGTTTGGTTTTGGTGAATTGATGAAACCCTAAGTGCTAACCTAATTTATCAAGTGATCATGATATAGGTAGCACACTCCAAGTGGTGAAGCAAATGAAGATCATAACATGATGATGGTGATGCCATGGTGATGATCAAGTGCTCGGACTTGGAAAGAAGAAAGAGAAAAACAAAAGGCTCAAGGCAAAGGTATAAATTGTAGGAGCCATTTTGTTTTGGTGATCAAGACACTTAGAGAGTGTGATCACATTTAGGTTTGATAGCCGTACTATTAAGAGGGGTGAAACTCGTATCAGAATGCGGTTATCAAAGTGCCACTAGATGCTCTAACTCATTTCATATGCATTTAGGATCTAGTGGAGTGCTAACATCCTTGAAAATGTTTGTGAAAATATGCTAACACATGTGCACAAGGTGACACACTTGGTGGTTGGCACATTTGATCAAGGGTGGTGAAGTTTAGGTGCAAGGGTAAGAAACTCCACCGGCGCCCTAGACAGAAAAGACGGAGGTCACTAGAAGTGACCGGACGCTGGTCGTTCAGCGACCGGACGCTGGTGGTTGCGTCCGGTGCTGTTGTCGGGCGGAGCAGCAGACTGATACCTAACGACCGGACGCGTCCGGTCGGGAAAAATCACGTTTGTAACCTTACTGGAAACGACCGGACATTGAGGTCCAGCGTCCGGTCACTTTCTAACTGACGCGTTCGGTCAGTAGACGACCGTTGAAATCTAACGAACATCATTTGAAGCAGGGGACACGTGGCGTGAATCACATGACCGGACGCTGAGGGCCAGCGTCCGGTCGATCGGACCGGAGCGTCCGGTCACCCCGCGTTGCGCCCAGTGAAGGGGTACAACAACTCTATTTCGTGGGGGCTTCTATTTAAGCCCCATGGCCGGCTCAAGCTCACCCTCTTGTCCATTTGCATTGACGTAGCAGCCTTGTGAGCTTAGCCAAAGCCCTCACACTTATTTTCATCATAGATTAAACATCTTTGTGAGATTAGGAGAGAATCCAAGTGCATTGCTTGAGTGTTTGCATCTAGAGGCACTTGGTGTTCGTGTTTCGCTATGGATTCGTTTGTTACTCTTGGTGGTTGCCACCACCTAGACGGCTTGGAGCAGCGAGGATCATTGAGCGGAGGGTGGTGATTGTCTCCGGCTCTGATCATGGTGATTGTGAGGGGTTCTTGACCTTTCCCCGGCGGAGCGCCAAAAGGTACTCTAGTGGATTGCTCGTGGCTTGTGTGATCCTCATCTTGTGTTGGTTGTGCGGCACCCTATTGAGGGTTTAGCGTGTGATGCCAATTAGCACGTGAACCTCCAAGTGAGTGTATCGCTACAACGAGGACTAGCTTGCCTGTAAGCAAGTGAACCTCGGTAAAAAATCATTGTGTTCATCATTGATTTCGAGGTGATTGGTCTTCATTGTTATCCACACTTGTGGTTGATTGGTTCATACATCTACACGGCGGTATAACCTTCTTGCCTACTCATTACATTACCGCAAACTAGTTGTCAAGCTCTTTAATGTAACTAGTTGTGAGAGCTTGTTAGTTTGGTTAGTGTAGCTCTTTAGTTAGCTTTTGAGAGCACACTAACTTAGTGTAGTGATATAACTATTGTGTGGATATACTTCATTTAAACTAGAATTATGGTAGGTGGCTTGCATTTTGGTAGGCTAGCGCATAACTCGCTTCGTCTCATAATTATCTAATCCTTTTGTTAAGTATTGTTGTAGAAATTTTATTAGGCTATTCACCCCCCTCTAGCCATTAGGACCTTTCACAAGTTAATTAACAATGGTGTTAGAGTATCACAAGATTTATGGCAAATCAAAATTCCTACAAGAATAAAGATATTCTTGTGGTACCTAAAAAGAGGTATAATCCTAATCAAAGATAACCTTGCAAGACGTAACTGGAATGGTGACAAAAGTTATTGCTTTTGTCACTCTACAGAGACTATTCACCACCTTTTTTTCGAATGTGCTTATGCCAAATTTATGTGGCGCGCTGTACACTTATTATTTGGAATAGCACCTCCTTTCAACATAGACGATTTATTTGTTACTTGGTCTAAGATGGGTGGTGTTATTTATAACTCATTGTTATTAACGGCAACAGCGGCTTTATGTTGGATAATTTGGTTAACAAGAAATGAAGTGGTTTTTGATAAATGCAAACCAAAAACTTTTTTGCAGGTGCTCTTTAGGGGAACCCATTGGCTATGGTAGTGAGCAAGACTGCAGCGGCGTGATGATCTACTGGACCAGCTAACCTTTGTTGGACAGCATTTGGAGACTTCAGCCCTGTATTTCTTTAGTTCCAGTGGATAGTTATCTACTAGGTTTTGTGATCTTTCTTAGTCAGGACTTCTCTTCATGTTTTGTTTCCCAAAGTCTAGATGTGAACTTCTCAACCATGAAAGTGGTGTGCTGTGAATTTTATAATAATGGACCTGATTCTATCTCGGTAGATGAAGCCGAATATAAACTATCCTTTATTAAAAAAAGAAACAGCCTATGTAGAGACAGCTACTGCATCCGTCCTATCTATTTTTAGTCAAACTAACTAAAATTTCTTAAGCTTAAAATAATTTGACTCAGCAGTGTACTAAAATTGCACTCTTTTACGGATGAAGTACAGAGCCGTCATTCAGTCCCAACAGCTATAAGCTGCTCCATTTATATATATATATATATATATCAGACAGCGAAAATGCTGCTCATGCAGAAACATGATGACCCAAAACAGGAACTGCTTTGCAAACGAGAAGTGAGGCCCATGCCACTGCTCAAACACATGGCAGCTATGGCCTACGAGAGAATTCTTTATTTAACACTGAGAAAATAAGTCTTCTTTTTTGATTCTGAAATTTTCTTCGTTCCCTATTTGACATCCATTTCAACTTTCATCCCTAATTTGACACTACCATTAAATCCGTTAGCTAACGGTGTTAACTGGCTGTTAAAAAGACGTTTTTGCCCCTAGAAAAAAAGCGGCGAAGCAAATTTGAGAGGAAAAAAAACCGCGCCTTTTTTTTGCAGCTGGGCGCATGCATCAGAGGCGGGCGCAGGTTTTTTTTCCTCTCAAATTTGCTTGGCCGCTTTTTTTCTAGGGGCAAAAACATCTTTTTAACAACCAGTTAACACCGTTAGCTAACGGATTTGACGGTAATGTCAAATTAGGGATGAAAGTTAAAGTGAGTATCAAATAGGGAACGAAGAAAATTTCAGAGCTCAAAAAAGAAACGACTAATTTTTCGGTGTCAAATAAGAAATTCTCTCATGGCCTAATCCCATGGATTCTGAGGGTGAAATAGCATAAACAGTTTGATCATTGGTCTAGTCACGACTTGTGTGTCCCACTGAAATCCTCAAAACTAAATCACCGGACTCCCAACCCGGACCAAACCTATCACCTTAATCATTTGGAAGATGGTAGGAGGATATTTAAAAAAAAAAAAAAATTCTATTTAACTCCCACCTTTTACACTTGGTCTACTTCACCCCCAATTATGAAATCGTCTGTTTTACCCATGAACTTTCTAAAATGTCTATTTTACCCCCTGGGCGGTTTTCAGCGACGGTTTTTGCTACAGCAGCGGGTTGCTACAGTAACATTGGTTTTTAATTTTTTTTTTTTTTAATTTATTTTTGGTGAATTTTTGAAAAATCATAGTAAATCATAGAAAAATCATAAAATGAAAAATCTAATTTTGTTGGACTCCACATGAGTAGATCTACATAGTGAATATATAATACGGTATGTTTTAGTATAAAATTTTTACTGTATCATTAGATTAATTGGAAAATCTAATTTTGTCTGTAATTAATTAGAATAATTTATAGCTGCAGCTTCTATGGTTCAATTGTGGTGAAATTTTTATGGTACGCTAATTATTGTATGCTTGAACTATAGTAAAAATTTCGTACTCATTGGACTATGTATAACTTAGTTATAGATAAATTCTAATTAATTACAGACAAAATTGGATTTTCCAATTAATCTAAAGCTACAAAAAAATTTGTACTAAAGCATTCCGTATTATATATTCACTGTGTAGATCTACTCATGTGGACAAGGAGCATTTGCAAGACCATGATTTGAAAAACTTCCACTGTCAGAGATTTTGTGCTGCAGATAGGCAAGCAGGCAGTGTTTTGTATCACATGCAAGGCACCACAACCCTTGCTTGGAATAAAATTGTTCGATTCAACAAACATTCATCAATGATTAGGGTTAACAGGGTTCCAACAAAATGGACTCCATACGGTGTTCCAAGCAATCAATGAATTGATAATAAACTACTTCATTAACACTGTTGTGCAGTGAGGGGAGACAATGGAGCTGGGTTACAAGCAGCATGTCAGCTACACAGCATACAGGGGAAGTTAAGCTTGAACTTCAACAATAAAAAACACTTAGCATTGTGGGCCTAGGGCCAAATTGACAATCAATACAATGATGCAAGTAAAACAATCACCGTGAGTCTGACTACACCTTGGCATTCTTTCTAGCAGCTATTAGTTGTGTACTACCTGAATTATCTCTTGGCAAAACAGAATACGATAGTGTAATTTGTGCTGGATTGGGTTCTGCCTCTTCACTGAATTTGACATCAAAAGCAATCGATTGGTAAAGACAAACTTCATCTTCTTTACAGTAGTAAACCTACAAGATAGAATAGAACATACTCAAATGCATAATCTGATAATACTAAGGAAATTACTTTTCTTTAGTTGACTTGTCTATTTGTACAACCAGTAAATCTATGATAAAAATATCAACACCGCATTACTTCTGTTAACTAAGAAACAACAAATGGCAGACATAGCATATCCTAGAGCAGAGTCCCTCTAAACTTGGGGTTATCAATGGCACACATGATTTAGCCCCGTACATTCTAACTCCAGCAGGGCATGCACACAAATTTACGATGACCATATGAATAGGATGGTCTGTATTGATATTGACTATTTTCCTAGCAGGGAACTTGTACCACCTGTAATACAACTTGAAAGGGTGACTAGCATTTGACTCTTGTTTACACTTATAATCATCCTACCTTGAGGCAATTTTTACCACTGCCCCCATCAAATGGCACCAATTAATTACAACACTCTTTCTATATCTGTTAAGATGCTTTCCCATATCTTTCTAGGATTAACTTGGTCATTTGTCACATCTTGATTCATGTGCCAAGAGATAAAGTAAGGTAGTGTGAATTATCTAACAAATTAATTAATGTCATTGCTGATTCCATGTCACTACCTTGCAGTTTATCCTTCCCATTGACAACGATGACGATATCCTTTTGAACTTCAGTGATGCCAGCCCTTCAGAGTTTAGAAAACCGTTCGCTGGCTCGATCTCAACTGCATTAGGTGGCTCTGTTTCCACATCAAATTTACTGCGAGCTTCCTACACCTCAGCGAAAAGATGTTAATACAAGCACTATTGAATGTTGTATCACAGTCACTAGTAATTATCATGAATGATACAAACTTGCAAAGTAAGACAAGAAAAAACAATGTCTTCTGGTTATTATTGACCTTGGAGAAATGGTAACCATCAGGTACTGTAATTGCAAGAGACAAGAATCCTTCCTTTGAAGAACCACCATCGACATTAATAACATCTGTATCTGCCGATAACCGCCGTCTTAGGCGTTTCAATGCCTTCGGTTTTGGTGATGGCGGCTGGACTCCGATCAACTCTAGTGTCTTCACCTCAGCACCTTTGTCACTAAGAGTTACATATCTGATTGTGTTGTTGTTTGTATCTGCTACAAGAAGCCTTCCTGTACATATATCAGTTACGCCATTGTATTATATTCACTTTCAGTTTGCAGTACAGCAGAACACAAGGGATAAATGAGGAGAATTTTTTTTGCTAAAGGACACGGGAAGTGATGGTGTGGCCAACGGACACAGAAAAAAAAGTTCAATTGGTGTTGTGTGGCCAATGGACACAGAAAGAAGTTCAGTTAGTTGGCTGGAACTCTGTAATGTGATAATTTGCTGGAAGACACCATGCAGATTAAAATAATCATTACCAGCTCGAGAGGAGAGATAATTTACCCTTACCCCTTTCTTCTTCCTCTCTCCCCTTTCTCTTCTTTCTCTTTCCTCCTCCCCTTTTTCTCTTTTTCGTGTGTAGCAATGGTGTGGGCGAGGCATGTCAGTAGTGGCGGCAAGATGGGCGGTCGGCAGCTGACGCCGCACTGCACATGACGAGCTGCATCCGGCAGTGGTGGCAAGCGGGGTTCATGCACAACCGGTGACACGAGCGGGCTGCAGCTGGCGGTGGCGGTGAGTGGGGCAAGCAAGCAGAACATGCCACACGGGCCGGCAGTGGTGACGAGCAGGCCTGAGTGAGCCAGGCACAGCAATGGCGACTGAGGGAGAAGTGGTGGTGTGGGCCGAGCGCGGTGGTGTTGCGGGAGAGAGAAAGGGAGGAAGAAGAAAAAGCTAGGGGCAAAAATGACATTTTTCACCACATTCCTCTTTCCTCTCAGGCTGGAAATGATTATTTTAATGGGCGCGGTGCCTTCTAGCAAATTAAAACATCACCAGAGTGACAGTCAGCCAATTCAACTTTTCTTTGTCTACTGGCCACAGGACATCACTTTTCATGTCCCGTAGGAAATTTTGCCTTGTATCAAAGACCTGACCATCTGTTTTCTGTTTTTGAATTTAGCAAAAGGTGTTGGGATTCGCTACAAATTACTGTTGCAAATCACTCCCTCTCTCTTGAGAGTTTATCACAAACACACACTAGGTTTTCCCTCTGGTGGACACACACAAGTACAAGACAACAATTACTTGGGGTCTGTCATCAAGGAGCTTATCACATTGGCTCATCGGGGTACTGGTCGCAGAGGAACCGAAGAATTTTTCATAGTGCCTCCGAAGACTAAGAGGTACTGTTGGAATAGAATGCTTAACTATGGGGGGATAACCTATAATAATAAAGAGTTTAGTTATTAGTTGTTCCTAAGGGAGACTCACTCTCTGCTGACTCCCGAAAAAAAATCCACACCTAGAAATCTGAAATAATATTAAGTGCAGGTTAGTCAGGGTCATGTTAGCCTTGTTTTTGTTTTCCCTTCAGTTTTTGGTCTTTTAGACATGCTGTACTTTTTCTATCTGTTTTACTAACCAGACTTTCGTTGCAAATGAATTGATTGTAGAAGGGAAGTGAGGGTAGTGATAGGCAAAATAGAATCCAGATGAGATTTTTAGTTGCCAAATTCAGGAAACCAATTCTAGAGAAAAGATTATGCTATGGTATAAGTTGACTTGTATGACAGTTATAGTAATTAACTGAAAATGAATAAATACCGAAATTACCATCTCCAACTTCAACAAGTCCTGCTGGCTCAGAAAGCTGCATCCAGAAAATTTTAAAAAAATGTCATCGAGCTGTTCCTAGTCACAATTATTTGTTTGTCACAATAAGAAAAGAAAGTAGAGTGCTCAAGAAAGCAACACCCTCTACCTATCTAAAGACTACAATTAAGCTAGATAGCAAGTAATGCGAATCATGTCATTTGATTTGCATCATAGATCTATCAGAAATTGTCAACTTAAGGAAAGAAGAAAAAATGTGGTCTAAGTTTTAGCTCACTTGAGCTGCCAAGCCTGGACCATCCTTGTATCCTGCACGCCCAGTTCCAGCAATAGTTGTAACTTTTCTTGTGACGGGATCTAGCCTTTTTATCTGCCATTTCAGATTAGGATAAGAAAAAACGAGAATGAATTAGAAAAAAGGCACATAATATAATACATTATTTATTAACAACTAATTTTGCAGATATGGAACTGCTCCATTATGAAATCTAGAACTGGAAAAATGGACTATGTGCGCTGTTGGTATTTTAAAACCTGGTTCCATTTACTTGCAACATTGGACTAGTAATTAGTTTAATATAACCATTTTCCCACAATTACAGTCACCTATGCCTTATGCGACAAGCATTACCTTCAACATGGTTGTCATGCCATCGTCTAAGTGTTGACTAATACTCCCTCCGTCCCAAAAAGAATCCACATCTCGCTTAAAAAAGTTTGACTCATGTGCATTCTTTTAGAGACGAGGGAGTAAGTCATTGAGCACACAAAGGTCCTCAACCGTTCCCCGGAAGGTGCAAGATGTTCAACTGGGATAGGAGAAAACTAGTTGTTTATTTATTTGTTTTGGGTGGGTGGGAGACCTGGATCCTACCGTCTGACAGTAATTATCATGTTATCGTTGTCAGCTGGTTTCGCACAGGATGGGACTGTTAGAAGGATAGGAGAAAACTGCCAAAGTTATTGCATTAACTTACTCTATAAGTTTATACACAAGAGGTTTAGTGCTGGATATTCTGGGCCCTACATAATGGCTGTAATCAGTACAAGCATCGATGTGACGATGTCACATCTGGAAGTCAGCATAAGCAGTGCTATGTGATCAGGAGTATCTGTCCTGCTGACTGGTACATCAAGGGGGAAGTGTAGAGACACACCTCACACCCAATATGGGGTGGGGGGGGGCGACCTTCATATATATAGCCGATATGGCTGGGTATACAAGGAATACAATCAAGTATACATAGCAGGTGCTAATTATAGCTAATCACACATAGACTTGCCTAATAGGAAGTGAGAGAGGACTACAAGAACTCTGGAATGAAACTATAGTTGGAAAAGTATCAGGAGCTGCAGGGGGAACGCGAGATGCAGCAATGTAGTTGGAGGACCTGGAGCAGAAGGTGATGTGTCAGAAGCTGAAACAGGAGGCACAATTGGAGTCACAGTAAAGGAAAGAGGAGAAGATGGAACTAGGGGACAGGGAGAAGGCAAGAACTAGAGGCCTAGGAACCATACTCTGTACCATGTCAGAAGAAGAGGATAGGGAGAACATCTATGGCCCCAGACTCTGGGCTAGAAGGACAACTTAGGGTGTTTAGATCCAGGGACTAAAGTTTAGTCCTTGTCACATCGGATGTTCGGATGCTAATTAGGAGGACTAAACATGAGCTAATTATAAAACTACTAATTGTAGAAGCCGTGGCTAATTCGCGAGACGAATCTATTAAGCCTAATTAATCCATCGTTAGCACATGTTTACTGTAGCACCACGTTGTCAAATCATGGACTAATTAGGCTTAATAGATTCGTCTTACAAATTAGCCTCAATTTGTGCAATTAGTTTTGTAATTAGCTACACACATATCTTACACTTGACAGGTGTCAAAATAAGGTTACTACCTTATGATTGTAGGAATCAGCTATATATACTTGATTGTCACTGGCATAAGCAACACCCAAGGGATGTTGGAGTAGCACATCTGGGCCAGTCCCATCATAATCTCCAAACTGAAGAGACAAAAGTATCCGACTTAAAAATGCCCAGACAGATTAGCATCAAATAAATTAACAGAACATCTTTTGTATTAAGAGACAAATACCCTAAACAAATTTTCTGGAAATACTGGATCTCCTCCAGCCAGATATCTTGAGCCTCCTGTCTTCAAATTAACAGCTCGAATGGAACTGCTTTCACTATCAGCAACAAATAACTCCTGCATTTCTGTGATAAAACTTCCTGTAAGTCCTATACTCAGTGCCATCAGATCAGAAACAGAACGGGAAAAACGGAGTCAACAATGAATACCAGAAGCTAATGAAATCCCAGAAGGCTGTGCAAACGATGTGCTGGTGGCACTGCAACATAAATTTGAATTTTCAGAAAATAAATTCAAAACTTCAAAGGATTAACCAAATCAAGCGCAAGGGTGTGCAGGAGCCAAATGAACACATTAAAGGAAGAAAAGTCTTAGGCTGATCACATAAGAAGCAAGCCTGTACGCTAAGATCTGGAATGGTTATTCTACTTCAACTTTCATGGCAATTAGCATAAAAAAGGAACAACTAAACATTGCTTCAAGCTGTCAAATAGGGACTGTTTCGCTGTTTGGAATAGCTCTAGCTCCAAGATCCATACAGGATTTGCAGCTTGTAGGATAAAATAAAGTGGTTTAAACATATGCATTTATCACAGGAAAATATCGCTAAAGACATCATTAACCATCCATCAGATAGCAACCGTCATTAACCGTCTTCATAAACATATTACTACGCTGTAGGATCAATTAGAACAGCACATTTAGAACTTTCCTGACAGATAATGCCAGAATCTGTTACCTTGAGCCATTCAGATTCCTCTCGTAGCCATCACCGCTAATAACTTTGGTTACTCCATCACGTACATTGTGCTTCCAGATCTGGTGTTGCCCAGCCATTGCAATATACACGGTCTCATCTGAGGGATCGTAGCATACATCCCATGGTGAATTTAGGACCTGCATGAACACTTCCAGTCAATTTCTGCTCTATCTACTGTAAGCAAAGATATGATAAAGTCAAGAGTGCTGGATTAATCCATTAATCAAGACCTATAGGTGAAGCATTACTGAATTACATGGACAATGACTTGACCCCCTCAAATTTCAGATAAACCCTGACTCACCCCCAAATATCTTCCATTGCTTACATGCATGGTCATTTGCCTCTTATTTCATCTATATATAAGATGGTGTGGTATGGTGTTGGTTGATGAATTGAGCCTGGTACATAATCCTTGTGCGTTGTGACTAGAAAACTATAATGTACTTTCAAAATGTTATGATAAATTACGAACTTGAATTTATAGTTTAAAGTATAAATATTTTGAAGACAGATTGCTAGAATGAACATGACTCTCACTAGTTACCTATCCCAACTTCCCATGATATGGAGTCAGTTGGTTCAGCATGCTGCCATCTAAGTATCATAGTCTATTTGGTTGAAAGCCAGAATAGGGTGCATTGGAGTTGATCAAATACGTCTAAATTTACTGAACGTAAAGTATGTTATGGAACATAAGTTATACAGTCGACATCCCTAGACACAGGTAATACGAATTTGTAAAGGGTTACGTATCTTGTAAACAAACAAGTCAACGAATCATGGATCTAAACCATCTAAGGCATCTCTAACTACTAGTACCAGACTACCAGAGTATCTGCAAGTGTTTGTGGATTAGACCACGACAGGGTTTCATTATGAGAATATGAGCAAGAACTCATGTCTTTATACAGACCAGCGATATTGTGGCTATACTTGTCTGATATATCATGTTCAAATATCAAATCTTATAGGCTGATTGCTGGACTATGCTCCTTGCAGTCAAGACAAGCTATTGATACTTGCAGCTAGTTCCCAACTAAATTTCTTGTTCCTCTAACAGGCACGAATGCCACTTGAGGGTGAACCAAACAGTGTTAGTAACAAACCATGTGGCTTATAGAAGTTGCACGCAAAAGTGTTTAGTTTCTGGTATGATGATTCCAGAGTAGTCAGGAAAAAAAATCAGAGCATGCCTGGTTTGTTCCTTGACCTCCTCCTTTGTAATCAGATCCTTTTGTCCCATTTCCAGCTAGTGTTCTCACAGTCTCGTCCACAAAATTAATTTCTCTAAAACGAAAAGAAGGCATATTTTTTTGAGATTAGGAAAAGAAGGCATTGAGAGCAGAACACAACACAGATCTGAGCACATACTTAAACTATGCTAATCAAAATATTAAAGGAATAACTGCTTGAAAAAAACATCAAACAAACACCATGGCTGAACAAATGTTCCAACCTAAAGGATTTTTTTTAAAGTATTATGCACTTCTTTGGTTTGTTTATGAAATTATACATACATGATCCCTGAGAAATTAAATGTAGGGCCTTCTGACATCATCAGGCAACATGAAGTGAAAAGAGAACTTGATAAGAATCAGGAACTTAAAGAAGAAAACTCCACACAGGCAAACAATCAACTCATCGATAAGTGAGAGCTCTTGATTTGAATACCTTTATTACTTTGCTTGGACTTAAAAAATAGAAAAAAAAATATAGATTTCTAAGTTTAATAGTTGCATTGAGAAGTCTTGTAGCCAAAGCTAACGAGGTGACTACCTAAAGCTGTTGCAGTGGAGGGGAGGTAAGTGAGAAAATAATTTGTTTGGACCCATTGTTTTATATATACATAAAAAAACTATAGGGTTGTATGTACCATGGCCACCATATCATAATCATGTTTGTAGAAATAGTTTTGTGGAACTTTGCATATGTCATGTGGGGACGCACATATGCCAGGAATAGAAGGGCCCGGGATGCCAGGCGTGCAGCATCGTTGACATAGACACTGAAGAAGATGACAATGGTGATTTGTGTTTCAGTAGGTTCTTTGTTGCTCTTAAACCATGCATTGATGGGTTCTTGCAAGGATGTAGGCCTTACATTGCCATGGATGCCACACACTTGACTGGAAGGGGAAGGGGTCAGTTAGCAGCAGCTGTTGCGGTGGATGGTCAAAACTGCTTATTTCCAGTGGCTTATGGTGTGATTGAGACTAAGTCTAAGGAAAGTTGGACTTGGTTTGTGACAAACTTAAAGAAGGCTATTGGTACTCCAACAGGCTTGATCATTAGTACAGATGCGGGCAAAGGACTTGAGGTGGCTGTACATGATGTGTACTCAGGAGTGGAACATAGAGAATGCATGAGCCACTTGTGAAAGAACATGAAGAAGAATGGGTACAGTGGTGAGCTTTATGGTAAGAATATGTGGGCAGCTGCCAAGAGCTTCACAAATGATAAGTTCAAGTGCTTCATGCGAAACATAGAGGAGAAGAATCCTAGTGCACTATCTTGGTTGGATGACAACCATCCATTTGTATGGAGTAGAAGCAAATTTGGAAAAGAATGCAAGGTAGATTACATCAACAACAACCTCTCTGAAAGCTTTAACAGTTGGGTGTCCAAAACCAAGGATTTTCAAATTGTGGATATGCATGACAAGATAAGACAAATGATCATTGAGAAATGTGTTTTGAGAGCCAAGATTGCTAGTAAAATGTCAGGCACAATCATTCCAGCTGTGACCAATGCTCTAAATGCTAAAGCCAAGAGTATCAAGGGCCATGAAGTATTGATATGTAGGGCTGGAACAGCTGAAGTAACTGTGAACAGATTCAGGTACGCAATCAACTTAGGACAAAAAACATGTAGTTGTAGGGCTTGGCAAGTAACTGGACAGCCCTGCACCCATGCTTTAGCTTTCATTTCTAAGATTAGTAGAGAGGTACGAATGGATGACTTTGTGCATGAATACTTCTCTGTTGATCGGTTAAAAAAGGCATATGCATGTTCTTTCAATCCAATGACATCTAAGGATAATTGGCCACATGTTGATTTGGGCTATAAAATCAAAAAGCCTAAACTAAGAAGGAAACCAGGAAGACCAAGAAATTCTAGGATCAAGTCCTATGATGAGGCCACCACCAGTAAAAAAAGGAGACCATGTTCTGAATGTAATGAACTAGGCCATATAGCGAAGCATTGCCAAGGAGGTCCAACTGCTAGTCAAAAGAGGAATCGCTCATCTTCTCAAAATGAATCATCTTCACAAGAAATGTGAGTCATGCTCATTTGTATTTTTTTTTGCTTCTTTACTCATGCTTATTTAGTCAACTTGTTTACTGAACCATTTTTCTCCATTCATGTGAAGTGCAAGTGCAACTGCAAGTGGATGGGGAAGGAGAAGGGGAAGAGGAAGTGCAAGTGTAGGACCTGGAACAGAAGGAGCAGAAGGGGCTGGAACAGAAGGAAGAGGAAGAGGAGAGAGGTTGGGTGCATTGTTAGGAATAGATACATGAATGTGATGTATAACACTAAACATGTAATATCTCACTATTAGCTACCGCTTTTGTTGGACTTGTATGTTGGATGAGGCTTGGTACTGTATGGATACTTTTGCTACACTTTCATTTGATGTGATATTATCTATCTATATTTGCATGCTGTGTGGAATCATATGTAACAAGTTGTGTAATGATGCTGCCAAATTTTTAAAAAAAACAGGGGTAAAATCACAATGTATTCAGATATTAGGGGCAATTTCGCATGGGCAAACTTGTTCTTACTGAGCCCATTTGACACTGTTACCTGCTGTTCCCGGAGTAGGGGTAAACTTAAGCTTCGTTTTCAAAAAACAAGGGTAAAATCACAACGATGACAGAAACAAAGGTAAAATCACAATTGAACGTCAAAATAGGGGCAAGAACGCAATAGCACCTTAAATATTACACATCTTTACCTCCATCAGCTGTGCATATAAGATAGTTGGACAAACACTGTGAATGGAAGTGGTAATAATCAAGCAACCACCAGCAAGAATTAGTACACACCAAAAGGTGCGATATTTGAGCAGGTGTTATCCAGAGCCACATATTGGACAAGATTCTGGGGCTCCGTCTAGTGGCTGCATGTGTCTAGAATCTCGATGGCACAAAGCATTCACATAACAGCACAAAGCACGATCGAAGAACCTATCTCATATAGTAACTTAACAACATGCTATTATTTGGTGGTGTCCACACATCACATAACAGCACACAAAGCACAATCAAAGAACCACTCACTACTATTACACAACAGACTCACAAACTCAATCACTCACTGCCTAACTAGGCATCGCATTCCAGCAGCTGTCTGGCAGGGATCAGAACCCGACTCCAGTTGCGTTCAGCGGCCGATGGCGGTCCTTCCAGAAGCAAGCGTCAGGCGCCAACCGCGCTGATGATCGCATCGGCTCCGACTTGCACCTTTTCAGAACGAACGGGGCGTAGGCTGCCGCATTGGTGACCGGCAGCACCTCCAGCTTCAGCTTCTGTTCTGTTGTAGCTGGTTTGAGTGGTGGTGTCTTCTGGGTAACTGGACATGGCATGGGCACAGCTGAGTTGACCGTCGATGGATCTTTGCTCTCTTGTACATCGTTCACAATGGTGGTGCCTTCAGCATTCTCCTTTTTTTCAGGCTCCACTGTTCCAGTAACAGAAGCCTTCTGTTGCCGGTGATTGCGGTTATTCTTGCCCTGGTAAGACTTCCAATGGACAAAGTCGGTGCTGCAGACCCATGTTTCCTTGGAGACCTCCATGGAGAGCTTTGGCTCATACATCATCAACAGGAGGCAATCTGGTAACTCGCCACTCTTCTTCCTCCTCTGTATCACTGGTCCTGCCCCACCTTCACACTCTTCTGCTCTAGTTTCTACTTTCTCTACTTCCTGGTTCGTTTCCTCATACTGTGTTTTTCCTTCTTCCTCTACATTCTCAGTAGTTTCTTCTTCCTTCCCATCGTCGTAGGATTCTTGTCCTTCCTCTGCACTGTTTGGAGCAACATCACAATCTTTCTCTGACTCTGCCTCAGAAGAAGTCTTCTTCCCCTTTCTGGATGCCATCAGCACCTTAGGCTCCGCAACGAGATGCTCCTGTTCAATCGAGAAGCTCCACCTCCGGCCATCTCTATCAATGGAGAAACTAGCTCTCCTTGAATCCTTCAAGCTCGAGAAGTTAGACCGCCGTGCCTCCGTCTCGGCTGAGAAGCTGTGCCGCCTGCCAACCTTATCACTGGACGATGAGGCCCTGCTGCTAGTGCTAACACGCCTCCTGCTACTCAACCGTCGCAATTTGGTGCGATCCTCCTTCAGAGCTGCTGAGGGAGAATAGCTGCTGATTGACCTCCTCCCCTTCATCTCTTCCTCAACTATCTCTTGTGCTGGAACTTCTTCCTCACTGGCCACCAGCTCCACCATGTCTGGCCCTTGTTTTTCCCTCTCTGTAACTTCTCCCAAAGGAACCTCCAAACCGGCATCTTTCCGAACAATCTGTGCTTCCTCTACCCCTACTACTCTGCAGGATGCATCCTCCTTTTCTTCCACAAGATCTCCACATTTAGAACTCTCTTCAGCTTCTGTTTTTGCTTGATCTATCTTCCCTGCTTCAGCGCCATCATTTTCATCACAACCACACTCTTCACATTTCAAATCTTTGACAGAAACAGCTGAACTGCGAACTTCATCTTTGCACTCCACTGGCTCAGCCTCCGCCTCAGCCTCAGCCGCCTCTTCCTCTTCCTCTTCTTCCTCATTGTCGTTGAGGCACTCAGCCACCTCATTGTCCACCTGCTCCACGGTAGCTGCAGCTGGAGACCCCCAGAAGCGGGTGGCAAGAGCAGCCATGCGAACTGGGTCTGACCGGCAGCGCATTAGCAGCAGTGCATTCCTCGGGGGGATGCAGACGCTCACCCTCCCCTCTTCTTCCTTCCCCACCACCAAGATCTCATCTTTCTTCTCCACCTCCACCTCCCCCACCATCACAGCCTTCTCCTCCTCGACATCCCACCCTTCCATGACGAGCCCCACTTCCGATGCCCTCATCTCTTCTGCAGGCACAACGGCGGCTCCCTTGCCGACCTCGTCCTCCTCCTCCTCCTGGATCGCCAGGAGGCACCTCGCCACGGCAGCACCGCACAGCCAGCTACCCCCAGCAGGAGCGCCCTGCCGCCGCTTCTTACCACGGTGTGCGTCGGCGGAGAGCGCGCCCCGCTCGCCTGCTCCGCCAGGCCGAGACGGCGAGCAGAGCGAGCGACCGCCGCAGGAGCCAAATGTCTTGAGTGCCTCGCAGATGTTGACCGGGATCTGGTACACCCAGCCCTGGTTCTTGCCCTGGGGCCCGTCCCGGTCGTCGCCGGAGCGGCGGAAGCTGACCTCCGCGCTACCGCCTCCACCGACTCCGCCGCGCCTAGAGCGGGAGCGCAGCGCGGCGGCGGAGGCGTGCTTGGGCTTGCGCTTACCGCCCTTGACGCGGACCTGGCCGATGCAGGTGACCTTGGGGGAGGACGGCTCGGCAGGTTCGAATCCGCCCCGGCCGCGGCGGCCACCGCCGGTGGACCCGGACGGGAACATTGGGGACTGGCCGCCCTTGAGGCTGCCGCTGTTGCGGAGGCGGCGGCTAAGTGAGGGGTGCAGAGGCGGGGCTGGCACTGCCTCAGCTCCGCTTGCGCTGGCACTGCCGCGGCCGGGGCTGAGGAGCTTGGAGGAGCTGGAGGGGCGGAGGGAAGACTGCGCGCTGCCGCCGGCGACGGAAGCGGCGGAGGCAGCGGAGGGGCGGGAGGTGAAGCAGATGAAGAGCTCCGTGCCACCTCCGCCGCCGCCGCCGCCACCCCGGTCCAAGTGCTTCTTGCGGCGCATGAGGGGGGAAGGAGGAGGGTGTGAGGCTTGTGAGCTCTCTCACTCTCTCTGTCTCTCTCTTGCTTTGCTGCACCCTGCAATGCCGCTGCTGGGCGCCTGCAGCTTGGGCTGCGCTGGTCCGCTAGATGCGGTCGCCGGTGGGGAAGGGAATAATTAGGGTTTGTTGGTGGTGCGCTGGCAGTTTGTTGGTGACTGTGGCTCTCACTGTGAGTGTGAGCTGTGGTCTGTGGATAGGGGGAGGTTGCAGGGTCAGGGCCTCAGCCCTCGGGAGGTGTTGAAACGGTGAATTGTGTAGCCATGGCCCACGTGGCTGTGGTGGAGCCCACACTGTCGCTCCGATATACGAGCATGATTGTCATTTGATTGACCCTTCGAAGCGAGAAAAGAAACTTTGTTTTCTCGGAAAAGAAAGAATTTCAGAAAATAGTCTGTGGCCTTATTTAGATTTCAAGTTTTTTCACTCTCTTCATCACATCAAATCTTTGATACATATATAGAGTATTAAATGTAGATAAAAAAAATAACTAATTACATAGTTTGATTGTAAATTACGAAACGAATCTTTTAGAGCCTAGTTAAATCAATCTTTTGAGTCTAGTTAAACCATGATTGAACAATAATTGTCAAATATAAACAAAAGTGCTACAGATGCCAAATACTAATTCCTAACTGCTATCCAAAAGGCCTGTGTTGTGAAAAGAGTTTGAACATTTCATGTCCATTCAAAAGCTATTCGCTCTAGCAAATCAAGCTCAAGTCTTGATATAACGGATCTACACGCCATCTCTAGCATAGTGATAGTTTCGTGGTCGTATTTTGTTAAGGAATTCTGTAGTGCTACTAGATTCCTATCATTTGTTTTTTTTTTCTTGGGGGCCTGGATAACATAGATTTGTCTCGGAAAATTCCAAAACAGTTCATTTCTTTCCCCTCTTTTTAGATTCCTATCTTTAGCTCCAACCCCATCTCTAGTTCCTTAGAAAAATCCAAGCACTTTCTTCTTATATGCAGTGCCAGCAACCTAGGAATTTGGGTTATCTCGGACCCCGTTCAACCATGGAACAGTGTTTTCCTCTCACAACATTTCAGCATAAGCATCACCGTAAACTAAATTTCAGCATATGCCAAATTCCACCAGTTTAAAATAGCCGTATCATCTTTGGTAATCAGCCTATCGATCCTCCCTCAGCTCTCAGTCTCTCACCGTCGCTCGCTTCCCCTCTCCACCAGGGGCGACAATGTTTCCCCCTGCCAGGCTGCCACTGCCACTTCAAGGCTGCCGTCGACAGGATCTCCTGGCGGAACTCACGTCCGTCATGGACGCCTGATCGTCTTTGAAATAAGAATCTTGAAATAAATAGGGAGAGAATAGTTCGCATACTCTCTTGAAAAAAAAATGGATTCCAAAAAATATTGTTTGCAAGATAGAAGGATGCAAAAGTAAAAAAGTGTACACCACAATTATATTTTCAAGAGAAATGTGTAATACCTTTCTATGGCCTTCACCTGATATCTGTGCTAGAACCTTTCCGTTGGGTCCAATAAGAACAAATGTAGGCCAAGAGTTCACACCCAGTTCTCTCCACAAGTACATATCACCGTCATTTACAACCTTCAAACATCTCAAGCAAGTGAGTCAAGAACTAAAGAAAAAGGACATCTCGAGTGAGTGAGTCAAGAACAAAAGAAAGAAAGAAAGGAAGCAATAAACAATGAGTTCGCCAATCATAAACAATACACAGTAAAGATGTATTTTCAATTGGTCCGGTACCTATGAGATATTCTATGGTATATTTAGGTTGTTTGAGTAGTATCCATGCGATGTTCAACGACGTATTTCAAAAAAAAAATGTTTTAGAAGTGAGGTCTTGGTTTGAAGAACTTATATATCTTGTAAAAACACAAGGTGCAATCCAAATTTAACACACAGTGACTTCAGCAAAAAAAAATCTTTTTCCTTAAGACTTCCTATGCTTTGATACATCGTTCATACTCTCTGATAACTGGACCGTGCATGCTCCAAAGCCCAAAGTCTTAACACTGCCAATTATCTCCAGGCCTACGGTGGAGATGGTCAGCGCGGTACAGTGCTCCAACCAAGCTGACGCTAATAGGCCCCAGGGCATGCTCGCATTGTGGGAGCCTGGGAGGACACTCCAATGAGGATGGCAGCGGATCGCACCCTTTGGGTGGCTGAGTGCTCTCTCGGTCTCAACTCATAAGAGCGGTGTTGCAATCTGAACATGTGGACTTATAAAGTGTGGATTGATTTGTCCCCCGACCCCCCGTTATGTATTGCCTGATTGATTTCATCTAGCTTTCTTGGAGAGACCACAAGGGCGCAGTGGTTTCTTCTCATTGAATTGGTCCATCTACTGGCGAGCAGGAGGGCAAGGCGCCTGGACGAGGGCACGTTACCGATCACCACTGCCGATCTTACCCACATGCCTGGTGGAGCTCGCAGAGGAGGGAACGTGCCTGATGCAGATTGATTGGTTGGAGTTTAGTCTTTCTTTTTATTTTTTTGAATGAATCTTTTTCTTTTTAAAAACAAAACTTGGTAGGAGCACTGCCATATCATATCATTGAGTTTAGTCTTTCTTGGTGGCATATCATATCATTGAGTTTAGTCTTTCTTCGTGGCAATGATAGGAGGATCCCACATTCATAGGGGCAAAAGAGACCTTTTTACAATGTTTCTCCCGCCTCTACGGCCTGGATTTAAAATATATTTTATTAATAGACGTGGTGCCCAGGGCAAATAACCATATCTTACTAGTGCCCAGCAAGCAACAGAGGGTGAGAGGGGGATCCTGTCCTACGGCAACGGCCACACTTGGCAAGTGTCCTTTTGCAAAATTTGCATATACAGAATGTCAATGCAAAAATGCAGTTGACAGATACCTTCACTTCTTCAGACATGGAAAAAGATAGTAGGTTGGTTTGTACTTCATTTGAACATTTCAGATGGTATATTGTTGTCATACCGGATGAGTAATGTTGTAGCGCAGAACAGCATTACGGATAGCTTCAAGGTCCTTTTCGTTATCAAATTTGGCAGAGTGCACGCCAACAACAGTGAACTGCAGGATCAAGCAACACACATGTGAATATCCAATACACAGCCATAGTAAGACACATGGATAGATAAAGAGTGGATTGCATTTGAATTATATAAAGCGGCCATCATAGGTTTCACAAACATAGGCTTGTTCCATTTCCAAACAAAAACATGCTTAAAGCTATTAATTGTAGAACTGATAAATTAAGATAAAGCTATCTGCATTTTGGAAAATATTTACTACCAACTTCATTAGTTGAATTTTCGATAGTACTGAATAAGAATGCAATACAAATTTATAACCAACGTCAGAAGATCTGCAATATGGCATCGTGGTGAACATTAGTATCCGGACGATGAATAACCACATATCAAAGTAGTGTAGAAAAGGAACAAAATAAACATGGAAAGTAACAAATGACAGAATACGTAGGGCGATGACATTTGCTGGGTGAATCCTTTTAGCAGGAGGATTTGATCTCTCCAACTTGGGTCCTAGGACCTACTTGGGTCCTAGGACCGTCGTGTATTGCGCCAGGGGCGCCATTTGTGCAGAAAACTCTAAACTCTCTCTTACTTAATTGAGTGGCAGAGCTCCTGCCTTTTATTTCAAAAAAAAAAATGACAGAATAAATATCAAGGTTTACAAAAAAAAAACTGGACGTTGTAATTCAGAACTAGTGTGCAACAACGACCTCTACCATTCTACCACAGCAATTAATATAATGCAATTTTTCACAGCACTCCTACATATTGGGGGGGTGGGGGGAGTCGGAAGCAGACATAATCAGGAACATTCCAGCATATGAAGACAAATCAAGCACTCACAGGTTTTTCTTTATACTTCTTCTCTACAAACTCCAGGTCTGGCAAGACATGCATGCAGTTAATGCAGCAATAGGTCCAAAAATCCAGCAGCACCACCCTTCCTTTTAAATCCTGCAGGAACATTTTGGCAAGAACAATTAACTGTTGAATCATAGTTAACCAGACGTAAGAATCTGAAAGTTAGAATAGTGGCCATCCATCATGCTTTAGTAAGGAAAGCATCCAACTGTGAAGAATGTCCTATCAAGCAAGATATAGGAATCATATATACTAACAACTAAGACAAAGCAAATAGAGTTATGCATGCAGGGAATAGTAGGGATGATAGTAGATTTGCATGCAGGGACAGTAGGGAATATGAACAGTAGGAAATATAATGTTTTAGGAGAAGGGATGATCAGTAGATTTACATGTAGTTGAATCAAGTATATATTCGTGAAAAATGTATATGCATCAGAAGTTTAACATCAAGAATGGAGCTTCCTGACCACAAGAGCACCACCAGTGCTTCACAGATGCTAGAAAGCTGAAACTTTTGGATCATGTTAATTACAGTCTAGGCAGCCCCATCGAATAGAGTGATAGAGATGCACGCAAGATCTTCGTAGTTTAAATCCAAAAGACAGGGTATGTAATTAGTACTGTAGCAAAGTTGCAGCTATGATAATAACCTAAAATGAGTTCTAAATTACTCTTCCAAACTGAAGTGGAGCTGTATTCAACCAGTCAAGCTTTCTTGGAAACTCAGGAACATATGTGGCAGAACCCCTACAATAAAATTAGAAGAAAAAAAAAACATTTGTGTCTAAGTGCAAACGAACAGCCTTGGTACAAGAAAGCAAGTCCAAGCTTCACATGCCTAGACAATAGATTAATACGCAGTTAGTTAGCTACCCACCCAGATTCAAACTCAGCTAGATACTTCTTTATTTGTTGAACTCTTGATGACAGAGATTCTCCTGCAAGCAGATAGCAAGATGAGCAACAAGCGACACACATGACAACTGGAAACCAATCTTCAATATAGCTTTGGATCCAAATGTTTCTGAGCTAGGTTTCAATCTCTCTAGGCATGCTAAAAAGAATTTTAGTCACTACGGTTACTTTGCAGGCCCAGCCTAAAGCCCACAATGCACCATCAACATGCAGTATGCCTGATGGAATTTCCAATTACCTAATAGCATTGTGCTGTGTTTAAAAGTGGCAGCCCGAAGTGGGCGGCCAGGTACCATCAAGCACCTAAACATCTTGGTGGCAAATAAGTGCTAGGCAGGATGGTGATGCCTAGCACCTAGGTGCACTGTGTAGCTGATATTTTAAAGAGTGACATTGTTTTAGGCTCGTGATTTTATTGTTAGCAATAACATCAAAATTCCATCTTGACTGATCCTTTAGAATTAACTGTTACAATGAACCAGTAAAAATCCTCTTGCGTCTGGATTTCTTACCTTCCTTTCTGGTAAAAACTGAACTATTTCCACCCATGAAGAAATTCAGCAGCCCTTTGGGAGATGCAAACTGCATTGCCTGTATACATTAAAACAATTCGTGGCAATTAATCTCAATTAGACGTGTCATCAAGAATTCAGTGATGACATGGACACCGATATGAAACTCATAGCCTTCATATAAATTGTAGAAAACAAACATGTAAAAATTCATGTGAATAACAAAAGGTGGTGTTAGCCCATAAAAAACAAAAGGTAGCGTTAATTTAGCACAAAATTTAAGAAATGGGCCCTGCCTTCACATCGCACCATTGTTAATGGTGTTAGTCATTGAAATCCATCCACATGCATAGTAATTTTTTTCTAGAAGGTGAAGGCCATTCATCAGTTTTAATAGTATTTAAGATGTCACAGCTTATGAAATGAGGAAATTCTTATTTAAATTCCACAGGAAACTCAGTCCTGTTGATAGCCAGGATGACACCATGGATAGCAATATCAAGGTGTGGAAAGTCATCTAGGCTGAGGAAAATGACAAAAGGGGACCCCATAAAGTCAGAAAAGCTATGGGTTATGGTGGTACTAATCACACATAAATAAGGTCTAGCTAATACAGTAATATGTAACACCAAGGATACAGATGCTAGCATAGACCCTCACCTTCCTCCTGAAGAAGCTACCTATTGGATTATTTTCTAATATAAAATCAAGGCAGATCCAGACTGTAGTTAGTTTCTCGCTTTCAAATAGTTACCCAACTACCCTATGCACATAAACAGCCCAGGATGGCAAAAAAGAGACATCCATTAAATAGTGCATTTCAATTACTCAGCATATTTCACATTAATATCAGGAAAAACTGCAATAACTACATTATCAATGTCCTCATAGGACAACTGTTTTAAATGTAGGGAGTGAAACAAGTAATTGTACCACAAAGTCCAAATGCTGAATCCACTAGGTGACTAGAACTCAAAGTGAGGACTTGAATGCAACCAAAACAAGGACAAAAAGAAAAGAGTACACTTGCAATAAGTGCAGAATCCTTCTCAAGTGCAATATAAGTAATGGTAGTGCAGAATGAAAGTTTTATGCAGCTATGTGGGTATCTGTATTAATCAGTTTAGTCCACTATGAATTGCAGGGTTGTCTTGATAAAAAAAATACTAAAATGTCTAGTGGTGTAACCAGACAATGAATGAGGATAATAGCCATACTATATTCTCGAGAGGTGCACCACCAAACTAGAACGTATGCCCAATGCTTATTTTATTAATCAGTTTCATGTGTTTTCCAGATGGAACTTGCAAGCAACCAAATAATTCTTCTTTTACGCATATTATAATCAAATGTGTAAAAAGCCAAAGCTACGCATAAACACCATCAATATACATATTAATGTATCAGCTGAAGCAAGAGCTGCGCAACAAGTTCGTTGTGTAAAGTTGTACCTTCCAATTTCTGACTGCAACAAAAAGACAGGATAAGGCTATTCCCAGACTTCCATATCTCAATATTTCACGTCGAGAACCCAACAGCCTGAAGGATTTCTTTTCGACATATCAATAAATTATGTTATGAAAACAGTCATGACTAGATAGTAACTTACAGATTAGAATAACACTACTATATCTCTTATAACATGGGAAACAACCTATGCACAGGAAAGAGAAGAACTCGGATGGTGTTATTTATCCAGAAAGTTTTCAATGTTTAGTGCATGTTGCCAAAAAAACTTTTCGAAGAGATGAGATTTAAGTGCACAAAGGAAACAGTGAAATCAAATTACGATTGATATTTAAGCCTTTCCTCTTGGAAGAAACTGACATTACCCTTCATTTTTTGAGATTGGAGAACCTTTTGTGTCAGAAAGTCCAGCACCAGTTGCTCCGTTCAGACTCTCAGGCAAAGCATTTCCTACCGAACTACTATTCTCAGTATTTTCTGCCCCTTCATCTGCATTAATTGTCTTCAAATCAGCACCAAGTACTCTGGAACAACCAACAGAAGAATGTATCTAGCACCGATTTCAACAAAACGACAATTTCACAGATATAGTTTGTGGCCAGATTAGTATGGCAAAACAGTCATTCACAACTTTCAACGTTAATGCAGAAAAAAAAAACAGCATATGAGTCATATTCAGGCTGATAAATCAAAACCAATGTAATGGATCCAATAGTTTCTATGTCCAGTTTTTCATACAAGAGATATGTTACTAGATCAAAATAATCTTTGTTTGTATTACATACTGTGGTGAGCATTAGAACCACCATACAAAATGTCGTTAATTGAAATGTCTCCAATATTCTTTCGTATGAGCGAGGGACTGCCTTGTTGTAACGCAACTTCCTCTAGAGTAGTTGTCACAGCGATACATCTGCAAGATGAGTGGCCAGAAGAACATTTTAAAATATGAATCTTTTTCATAGTTCTAAAAAATTGACTATAAGATATATATACATATATATTGCATAAAAGTGGGCAGTGGTGTCCCAAATTCCCAAGCCACAGTAAAGGAGGAGGGTTGTGTTAGGCGTGGCGAAATGTAAAAACTTAGCCACTTTAATGGAGATGAAACCCGAAAAGAAAATCGTTGGGGCGTAAACCCTCTTAGCGACGCGCCATATCGGAACCCGGGTATGGTGTTAAATGGGCAAGGCCGGGTCGTCACCCCGTGACGCTGAGTGTCGTGATCTGGGCATGGTGTCAAGTGAGCAAGGATCGGTCAAGCACTTCCTTAGTGGCCTATACATCGGCGCCCGTGTAGTGAAAAATGAGCAAGGGTCTTCGATTGAAGGTGATAAATCAAGGGTAACCAAGGTAAAACTAGTAACCAACTAGGATCCAAGGTAGTTGGAATGTAGGTCACTTACAGTTTTTAAGAGAATTAGTTGATACCGCGACTAGAGGCGTGTAAATATATTTCAGAGACTAAATGGAAGGGTCAAAAGGAGGTGGACAATCTGAGGTTTCAAGCTTTGGTACATCTTTAGAAATGGAGTAGGAGTTTTGATTGATAAGAGCCTCAAGAATGGTGTGGTGGGAGTGAGAAGGCAATGAGATAGGATTATCTTAGTCAAGCTTGTCGTTGGTGATATGGTCTTGAACGTAATTAGTGTGTGATGCCCCAAGTAGGCCTCGACGAGAGTGCTAAGAGATAGTTACTGGGAAGACTTAGATGGCACAGTTAGAGCTATACCTAGTAGTGAGAAGCTTTTATAGGAGGAGATCTTAATGGGCATGTAAGGTACTAACAAGCGCGGTGGAGGCTCGAGGCGCTTCATGGAGGTTTTGGGTATGGTAGTAGGAATCGGGAGGGGAGGAAGTTCTCGACTTCAGCGGTAGCTTTGACCTCGATGATAGCCAACACTTTCTTTAGAAGAGAGATCTCATCTAGTGACCTTCATGGTGACAACATCAGAGCTGAGTTGACTTTGTCCTCGCAAGAAGAAAGGACAAACGGGAGGCTTGGATTGCAAGGTGATACTTGGTGGTGTTGTTTCTCAACATAAGCTTTTAAGGCGAAGAAAGAATGCGTAGAGCGTAGGGATAAACAAGCTAAGATTCAAAGAACAAAGTGGTGGACAACATAGGCGTCGATTTAGTACAAGGTGAGGGCAAGGAAGAACGACATAAACAACATGTGGAAGAAGATGACAACCAACATTGGGAAGGTGGCCTCGGAGGTGTGTGGAGTAACCAAAGGAAGTGGAGGCGAGGCTAAAGATACTTGGTGGTGGAGCACGAGAAAGTCCAAAGGGCTATTAAGGAGAAAAAAGAATGCTATAGACGCTTGTACCATGATAGGAGTGTGGACAACATAGAGAAGTACAAGGTGGCAAAAAGACATTTATTTGTATGTGGCAAAGGGTAGAGCGTCTGAGGATCTTTACCAACATTTGAGTCTGAAGAAGGAGAGAAGGACATTTATAGGATGGCTAGGGTTCGTGAGAGAAAGACACGGGACTTCAACCCAAGTTAAGTGCATTAAGGATGAAAGGGAGCATCTCTTGGTGAAGGAGGATGAGATCCGACATCGATGGCAAGAGTATTTTGATAAATTGTTCAATGGTGAGAATATGTACACAACCTTTCGGTTGGATGACTCTTTTGATGACACCAATAGGCGCTTTGTGCGGAGAATCCAAGAATCGAGGTCGAGAGGCGTTGAAAAGGATGAAAGGAGGTAAGGCGATGGGACCGGATGGTATCCCAATCGAGGTGTGGAGATGCCTCGGGGACATAGCTATAGTATGGCTAACCAAGTTTTTTCAACCATATTTTTCGATCGAACAAGATGCCCGATGAGTGGAGGAGAAGTATATTGGTACCGATCTACAAGAATAAAGGGATATTCAAAGTTGTACTAATTATCGGGAATTAAGTTGATGAGCCATACTATGAAGCTATGGGAGAGAGTTATCGAGCATCGCTTGAGAGCAAAACGTTGGGTCTCCGTGGAACCAATTTGGTTTCAGCATGAGCCATACATGAAGCAATTTGGTCATGCTTGAGAAATAACGGGTCTCGTGAACCAATTTGGTTTCATGCCCTAAGGTCAACCATGGAAGCCATTCTTAATAAGACAAGTTATGGAGCGGTAAAGGGAGAAGAAGGACATACACATGGTTTTTATTGACTTGGAGAAGGCTTATGATAAAATACCAAGTAATGTTATGTGGTGGGCTTTGGACAAAATAAAGTCCCAACGGCATGCGTCGGGCTCATTAAGGACATGTACAACAATGTTGTGACTAGAGTTCGAACAAGTGATGGAGACACGGATGACTTCCCGATTAGGATAGGACTACATCAAGGGTCGACTTTGAGCCCTTATTTGTTTGCTTTAGTGATGGATGAGGTCACAAGGGACATACAAGGGACATCCCTTGGTGTATGCTTTTCATGGACGATGTAGTGCTAGTTGATGAAAGCTTGACAGTGAATCGAAACCTGAGTTATGGCGGGAGACTTTGGAGTCCAAAGGTTTTAGACTCAGCGAGAACTAAAAGCTGAGTATATGAGATGTGACTTCGCACTACTACTCGGGAGGAGGAAGATGTTAGTTTGGAAGGTCAAGTAGTGCCTAGGAAGGATACCTTTCGATATTTAGGATCAATGCTACAGAGGGGGGCGGGGATATTGATGAAGATGTTAGCCACGTAATCAAAGCGGGGTGGATGAAGTGGCGGCAGCGTCTGAAAGTCATATGTGACAAAAGGTACCACGAGCTAAAAGGCAAGTTCATATGTGAGGGTACCATGAAGCTTAAGTTTTATAGGGCGGCGATTAGACACTGCTATGTTGTATGGTGCGTAATGTTGGCCTACGAAAATACAACATGTTCAACAACTAAGTGTCGCGGAAATGCGTATGTTATGCGTTGGATTTGCGGTCATACAAGAAGGGATCGAGTTCGAACGATGATATACGTGATAGATTAGGGTAGCGCCAATTGAAGAAAAGCTTGTCCAACACCGGTTGAGATGGTTTGGACATGCAGTAAGACCCCAGAGGCACCGGTTAGTGGCATCCTAAGGATAGTGGATGGCGAGGAAGACCGAAGTTGACATGTAGAGACAATAAAAGGAGACTTGAAAGGATGGAATATCCCAAAGACTTCATCAGATACTTGGAAGACTTTCAGATGATTGCTTCTGAAGAACAACCTCCCCAACATGTTTGGGACTTAAATCTGTTGAAGATATATTGCATAAAAAGTTTGAACTTTACAGATTAACTGGCAGTAACTGCGCCCAATTTAATAAGGATATGGATGTGACTTCATGTAAATAACTGGCACATCAATTCATCAAAATACAAACTTAGATGTGAAACAAGACAATCCCAACGTAAAATCTGTGAAGACAAAAATCATAATAACTTAAGGACTTGCATCGCAGTCGCAGTCGCATTTATATTGATCCACAGCATTCAATAAGGAAATTCCATGGTAAAACATTTATTTAGGGTGAACTCAAACTAGTTGAACTTAAGTGCTATGACCAAAGTAAGGAAACCGTATTTTTGACAGAAGGAAAAACATCCAATATGGACCTCATTTCTGCAGCTTTTGCAGCTTGAACACCAGCAAGTGCGTCTTCTATCACAATGCACTGGAAAAAGCCAAAAGTTCATCACATATAACACTCCAAACAAATAAATATGATGGAACGAATGACCTAACCAAAGAACTTAATAAAAAACAATATACTACGGAGAGTTTCATATCAATGCCTAAAGATTTCTGTTCTTGTCGCGGAAGACAAACAACAAAAATAAAACATGCCTCAGTTATAAAGTTATGGACTAAAGAGGCAGCCAAATGGTAGAATAACATTCAACTTAGAAATCTCAACTCGTACCTAAACTAAATACCCGTAACAACTAAACACAACCCCCAACCCCACCCCCCAAAAAAAACAAAAAATTTGTCACACATAACATCCAAAAGTAGCTTATATAAGCCAACCAAGGTATACCTCCATCGCCAGCAAACTGCATTGCTCCTAATTTACATGGATTTTTTCCATATACAATAATTCTCTCTAATTTACATGGATCCTTTTCGTAATAGCAAACTGCATTTGCTCCTAGTGAGCATAAATCATGTGGAAGCTATAAACAACTGCTACTTGGCTAAACTGGGGAGGAGAAAAGTTTAGTCCTATTAGGTCTTCTCCTGTCGTTAGCTTATCTAGGGTGTATCTAACAAACCCCACACAAGAACTGTGTATGCCATCGTACCTTAGAAATCCCCATGTTTGTAGCCTTAAGAATCAAACCAGCAGAGTTAAAGATTAACCGAAGCCATTTGCTTATAACAACAGAACACATCCAGTCCATTGCGTTGCTACATTCTACATGTCCAGGCTTGTTTTCATCAAGAAGTCACCCTTGACTATCCATTCTAGTTTGCAAGATAAATTACCTCGTTTGTGTCAACACCTAAGTTCTTTGATGCTGCCAGAAATATGTCCGGAGCGGGCTTCAAATTTTCAAACGCGTCAGCAGAAACAATAGCATCAAATCTGAAATCCAAAAGGGATTCATTGGACCAAATGACAAGTTGTGGGAAAATTAAAATGAGTGCAAACGTAATTCTTCGTAATAATCTTAGGGGTAATATTTTGAAATTCAGTTCTGGTTCAACTTAAATCTACTAGAGGCATACACATATCATAGGACAGACCAGGGCTGGCGGCTCCCACATGAGTAGGGTCTGGGGAAGGAATAACCAAGGCAAGCCTTACACCTGCATTTTGCAGAGAGGCTGCGTCTAACCCAGGACCATAGGCTCAGTGGGAAGGCTTCTCACCACTGCACCAAGCCTGTCCTTCCCATACACATATCATAACAGCAGCAAAAGTTTTAGTTCATTCCTAACTTTATGAGGGTTTCGGGTTTGTCCAATGAAAGAAAAAAAGAACATACATACTTCTTCGTTCTTATGGTCAGTTTAAACCATATAGGAAGATATAGTTAGGCTATGTGACTCAAGTGAATTAGAGAAGCATAGGAGAGATCTATAATACATACTTGCAGATCCAAAATGTAAGTGTTGTGGACGCATTCATTGGCAAGACCTACATACTTCGCAAGAAGCAGCAACAGGTCCACTAGTGGCTAAGTTTATCATAGTTGAGAGTTTGTTTGAGTTAGTTGCTTAAGTTACATTAGTTATTTGAGAGAATAATAGCAATTTGTTTAGCAAAGTTGTTAGGGCCGAACCTATAAACCAGAGTACAGCAGATTCATCTGGATTAAGCCGAAATAAACCTAAGACCACAGAACCTCTTCAGAGAGCGAATCAAGTCTATCTTTGCCTCTACGACTCCCTAACCGAGCCACCAATCTAGCCATATCAGTAAGTCAATAGCCACCCCACTCTATAACTAATGTAAGTCATCCTACACTTTTGTGGCACTTTTCCATTCCTCTTTCCTGTTATGCCTTATTAATTGGCAACGTATCAGGTGCAAACCAACCAACCTGTGCAAACTTGGAAACTACCAATCAGGGCCACTAGATGTTGATCCAATGGATGAGGTGAGAGGTGGGATTTTTTTGCGCTTAAGCCCCCCACCCGCCGGCCTTTTTTTTTCGCTTAAGCCCCCTCACCCCATCCATTGGATCAGCATCTAGTGGTCCTGATTGGTAGTTTCCAAGTTTGCACAGGTTGGTTGGTTTGCACCTGATATGTTGCCTAATTAATTACCTTGCCTTTTTCATATCAAAATGATATCAGATAAATTGTGGGAGGGATAAAAAAAAGGTTGATTTTGGAAAGTGGGCACTTGGGATTCAATTTAGAACCAAACACGTATACAGAGACAGGCAAACCAGCAGCAGCCAGATTGGCATCCACCTTAATCCTGTCGGCACTGGATGCAACGGCAACCTTAAGACCAGAATTTTTGCACTGTGTAGACAAAGCACATAGAGCCTTTTAACATTAATAGATTCAAATTTATTTAAACAAATTTCAGTGCACATACCTCCATGATGAGCTCTAGAGCCCCAGGGAATCCGATGCCAGAATTTGGCTTTGCGTACTACAGATCGAAACAGAGCTCTTGACCATGTTGTAATCAAATTCTAATAGACAACTGATACAAGCTGTTGCATTAGTAATCTAACCTTGTCAAGATATATCTCAAAAAATCTCTTCTTCGCACTTTCAGGATTGAAATCTTTCACTCCTTTGGCTCTTGCGACACCTCCAAGGAAATTGGCCTCACCTAAACATTGAGAGGAAACTAAAATAAATTTCTGAAAGGTAGCAATACTTTTTTTGTATTTTTGGAGCATGTAATAACGCAATGAGCAAACAACGGGAATCATTTTCTGGTGGGGTCATCCTATATGAAAAGATAGGCAGTTAAATGCTTGATAGCATGTAGGACAATTGCAGTTGATGATTATTATAAACACTTGCATAGCAAACTAGCAACCACTACTGTAACGGATCAGAGGCAATGCTGAGCATCAGCAACACCCAAATTATAAAATTTAATGAACTTGGAGATCAGAAGTTTATAGGATACCAACATGATGTCACAATTATTGTGATGCAAGCATGTGACCATGGTCCCAGGAACGTGGTGGGCCGTAACAAGCATTCTAATACACCAATCTGTATGTCAATATTTGGCAAGGGCATATCGAACTAGCAGCCACTGTAGTTACCGTTGGATCACGATAGTACTGGGCAGGAACATACATACAATTACCAAGTCAAGCACCCTATAGCATGGAAGTTAAGTGGCATAGGATGCTACTGTCGCAAGTCGCATGGATAATGCATTACTCCCTCCGACCTCCAACCCAAAATAACTGCACATCTGGCTTTTCGAGGAGTCGAGATTTTTAAAATTTGATCAAACAATGCACGAACGCGAATGGCAGCTGACCACTAACTAGGACCTGAGATAGTTAGTTACCAGTGCCCATGAAGGGGACGAAGTCATCCACGGTGACCTCGACGCCCATCTCGGCGAAGACGTCGACGCCGGCCTGTCGCGAGGGCTCCTCGCTGTTGCAGAGCTCGCCGTCCATATCGAAGAGCACGGCGGAGACCTTCCCCCATGCCGCCCCCTCCGCCACCTCGGTCCCCGGAGAAGAGGGGGACGGAGCGGAGGCAGCTGTGGCGGTGACGACGTCGCGCCGCCCGCGTCGCGGGAGCCGCATAGCCGCCGATCGGGTCTTCGGGAGGAGGAGCGGGCGGGGAGGCGGCGCCTGGGAGGTGGGCGGGTAGTGGCGGGACGCGAGGAGGCGGTGGAGGCTTCCAGACGAAGGCGCGAGGTGCCGCGCCATGGCCGCTCGGCTTGGGTACTCGCCGGGTCGGGAGCGTGCGGTGCCGCGGCCGTTGGGGAGATGGTTGGAGGGACGGGTCATCACTCGCTGCGGCCTGCGGCGCACCGCGCACGAGTGGATGGGTGGACCCGTGGACGCGGTGTGCAGTGTGCAGTGTGCTGCTCACGGCTGTGATGCGGCGGACACGTGGGCGTGGTGTGGCCTTACCTTGCCGTAATCAACTCCAATCACACGAAACAAATACTGTATGCGTTTCAGCCTTGCAGGTGAAATCGAAAATACATATACAGTAAGAAAAAAAGGACCTGCACTGCAAAAAAAAAATTTTTTTTTGAGCATCACTGCAAAAATGCGTTGGGAAGGAAAAGGAAAAAGTCTACTTAACCCCATACCTTTCATACTTGGTCTACTTCACCCCCAACCATGAAACCGTCTGTTTTACCCCCTGAATTTTCTAAAACAGTCTATTTTACCCCCGAGCGGTTTTGCTACAGTAACATCGTGTTTGCTATAGTTCCGGTGTGTTTGCCTTTTTTTTCGGTGAATTTTTGAAAATCATAGTGAATCATAGAAAAATCATAAAATGAAAAATCTAATTTTATTGGACTCCACATGAGTAGATCTATACAGTGAATATATAATACGGTATGCTTTAGTACAATTTTTTTTTAGCTTTAAATTAATTGGAAAATCCAATTTTTTCTGTAATTAATTAAAATTTATCTATAACTAAGTTATACATAGTCCAATGAGTACGAAATTTTTACTATAGTTCAAGCATACAATAATTAGCGTATTATAAAATTTTCACCACAATTGGACTATAGAAGCTGCAGCTATGAATTATTCCAATTAATTACAGACAAAATTAGATTTTTCAATTAATCTAAGGCTACATTATGAAAAGGTTACTGTAGCATTTTTCTAATTTACTATGATGTTTCAAAAATTCACTGTATAAAAAAGAAAATCCACACTGTCTACAAAACGCCAAAAAAACGCTCGGGGTAAAATAGACGGTTTTGGAAAGTTCATAGTTTGGGTTCCATATTTGGACCAAATATGAAAGTATGAAATAGGGGTTAAGTAGACTTTTTCCGAAAGAAAAACAGAGCGAAGAAGATCAGCCGGCAAGGAATCTCTTACGGTACCAAATCTGCACCAACGCATCTACCTTCAGCCTGTTCGCTTGGTCGTATTTGGCTTATAAATCACGACTTATCAGTAAATGAACAATATTTTTCTATCACACCAAACCAGCCAACGATACTTTTAGCCATGGCTTATAAGCTAAACCAGCGCAAACGAACATGACGCTTATTATTTTGCCACGTGTTCTACAAGACGAGAACCTCGCGACTATTCGCTCCGTTCGTTTGGACTGAAAGTACGGTTAGCTGATTTGGTGTGAGAAAAAAATAATATTTATTGGCTAATAAGCCATAATTTATAAGTCAGATACGAGCGAACGAACAAGCTGCTTCTCGGCTCGTCGGTCGTCCGCTCGCTCGGCGTCTCCATGCGTTGGCCGTCTGCTCGCTCAGCGTCAATGAGCAGGGCGGCAACGCAGGTAACCGGCATGGCCCACCTGCACGGGCATGCACTTACTTTATCGTATTAGCCATATTTATCAATTATAATACAGTATTTTTCTCTCTCAACCAAAACGGTATCAGCTGGCTTATAAACCTCCAAAACGATCTAACGAACGGGGCCGATGGTCTACCGGCGAGACGGGCGAGCTCACCGGTGACCCCTCCCTCGCGCCTTGCACTCGACCTCCATCGGCCGGGCAAGTGGGCAACAATGCCCTCGCCATCTCCTCGTGCTCCGCTCGGCCTCCAATCTCCATAACCCTCTTTCCGTTCCCTTTTCGCGGCCGTCCGCGGCAGGGCCACCCCACCGATGCCGCCGGAGACACCACTGGTGGGTAGCCCCTGGACGTGGCCACGTCTTCTTTGGCGCTGGAGCCGCACCGCTGTGCCGCCTACAAGGTGTTCGAAAATAGTCCAACCCCAAGTAACACGATACGCCACAGTCCTTTTCCATGCCATCCACGAGGACCTCATGTAACTTACCTTCTCCATTTGATGTTTTTTTTTTGACAACGCATTTGATGGGTTTGATTATTCGATGGTAATGCCAACGTCTGGAGCTCTGATTAATGGGGAAGCATTTTATACATTGAAGAATTGATTTGCAAAGGAAGACGAATAGTCTCGTTGTCTCCAACGGTCCCCATGACTAGTAGAGAGAGCAAGAGAGAAAAGATGTGCTCAGTGGCAGTAAAAATCATTTTCAATCTCTATTTCCCAATAAACTAGCAAGCTCACGAAACATGTAATTTTAGGAGGTGATTGAAACTAATGATTGGGGGAGAAATTATGCCTCAGTATTACATATCCTTTTCTTTATAATCTCACGAAGTATGATAATTACCCAACAAGAACTAGCTCGGATGGTGCCTTTGCATAACTTTCTCCTTCTGAATGTTACTTAGCTAATATGCTTGATACTCTGATTCTGCATTTGCTCCTAGAACTATTACTGCTATTTTCTTAGACCTTATATCTCCATGCTACTTGCTAAGAAGCTTGAATGTACGTATGATTCAATAATCCAAGCTGGATAAGTAATCTTCAGTGATCGCATAGATATGTAAAATGCTTGAGTTCATCGAGAAGAACAACAATACTCATAAATATGTTTAATCCAGTTCATAGTTATGCAGATACAAAATTACAAAAACAATAGGCAGAATAGCCATTTTAGTCCCTCAACCGGTACTCGAAGCTCAGTTTCGTCCCTGGACTTTTAAATTGACCGTTTTCGTCCTCAAACTCTACTTTTAGGCTCAATTTTATCCTAAAACTATGAAGATGATTGTTTTAGTCATCAAACTTTATATTTTAGGCTCAATTTCATTTATAATCCATCAAAGTGTATTTTGTTCTTTAAACTTTTATTTTCAACTAAACTTGGTCTACGTTCTATGTGGAACGTTGCACTGTTGCACCTGGTTAGCTCCAACACCACCAGCCATTGGAGATAGGAAAATAATATTCGTCCAAAAACTCTTTCGTGGCCATTAATAATTCCAAGCTTATATTTTTAATGTTACCTTATAATGGTACCATTTATATATATCCGACTAAATGATATTTGTGGGAGCAATTACGTTTACATCAGACACTATTTATTCTTTAAGAATACATGGATATATTAAAACAATAGCAGATCTATAATTTTGATAATTCATGGATAAAATTGTGCCTAAAATATAAAGTTTTATTTTTCAATAGACAAAATTGAGTTGGAAATAAAAGGTTAAATGCACTTTGATAGTTTATGGATGAAATTGAGCCCAAATTACAAGTTTGAGGACTGAGACGATCATCTTCATAGTTGTAGGATGAAATTGAGTCTAAAACTAAAGTTTGAAAGTTTACGCCTTGTTTAGTTGGATCCCAAAGTCCAAAAAGTTGCTACTACTGTCATCGAATGTTTGTGAAAAAATTAGAGATGAAATTGAGCCGTTTTGAGCCTAGTAATAAATAAAAAGCGAACATGAGAGACCAACTAAACAAGGGCTTATTCTACCAAAACAATATATACACCCATCATATAATCAGATATTACAAACATGACATAACTCACTTTATGTGCAGCCTGAATTTACTTATATAATCTAATTGGTCCATTTATCTAATTGATAGATATAACGCATCGATGCAATGCAAATGCTTGCCAATTGCATATACCCATCGTTGTCTTATATAAGCATTAGAGATCTTCTCTCTCTCTCTCTCAACTACTTTCAACTGGTATGCACAAGAGGAAATCACGTTCTCAATTTTGAAGTGGTTTTGACTCCGTCATCTGATTTTTTTCTGTTCAATTCAATATTTACCAAAACCATGTCGTCGTCATCATACTTGCCAAGTTGTCATAAATGAAACACCTGAATTCTCTGTTAAACCCCTCCTAATGAAAAACGCGCAAGTCTGCGTGTTAGCGAAAAAAAAAATTCTCTGTTAGTTTCAATATTCTAATGTACATAGAATTTATCTTATTAGTGGCACGCTACTATGAATGCCATTTAACTATTCACATTGTTGGAATAAACACTCAGTGGCATTACAATGGGTTCACGAGGCTAGCCTGGGCTGGCACGGCAACGCCACGCCCAAAGTTTTCTAGTATGCTTCGAAGTTCGAAGATATACAGGCTGTTTTCATGCCTCATGCCTGCATTTGGCGTTTCCGAGTTTGTTTGGTTTTCCTAGCAGAGGTTTTTTTTTCCTGACTAAAACCATCAGGCATCACCACAGCACACTATTCGTTTTATTGTGTTTTCCTAGCAGGTTGACGCCAGTGTACGAGCATATATCCGCACATAATCCATGTTTTTTATTGAACAAATAAAGTCACCGTGACCATATGATTCGTTTCGCTAAAATTTAGCTGTTGCTGATGTTGATGTTGATTTATTATGAGAGAAAAATATTATTTTTTCTGAAAAGCACTGCTAAAGTAGTGCTGACAAACAAGACAATAAGCGCGTGTTTAGTTGGAGAAAGTTTGGAATTTTGGCTACTGTAGTATTTTCGTTTTTATATGACAATTAATGTTTAATCATGAACTAATTAGGCTCAAAACGTTCGTCTCGCAATTTCCCACCAAACTGTGCAATTAGTTTTTTTCGTCTATATTTAATGCTCCATACACATATCGTAAGATTCGATATGATGGATACTGTAGCACTTTTTTGGAGTTTGGTTTGGAACTAAACATGGGTTAAACATATTTCTACTCAGGCTATCTCCAACAATAACACCCAAAATACAAGACCTATTCATCCTTTGGGTAGCGTCACCAGTAAAAGGTTCAATACCTATTCGCATCTTCTCCAACAACAAGACCCAAAAGAGAATCCTTTCTGTAAATGGATTTCCAGGAGAGAGGATGCCTATATTTGAGTTGTGCATCTCAGGCAACCCA